GTTGTGCCGTGTACGGGAGTCATAAGAGCAAGATTTTCTGATGACCTTAAAGATAACGTATTAGAATTATGAAGGAAATTAAAACTTTCCTTTAGATAGCGCGGGGACTTGGGATTGAACAATATGTTGTAAAGAAGAGAAAGGATATGAGTATTCCGGCGAAGGCGAATAGGTAGCCACTTGAGCTGTGAACGAAATTGAGAAACATGATCATATTTGCGCAAGCCAAATATGAAGCGGATACAAAAATTTTGAAGTCGCTCAAGTTTATTAAGCTGGTCCTCCGTGAACTTTAAGGTTGGGACAGGAAATAATTCCGTACTTGATCTCTAAACGAGTTCAGAGTGCGAGCCTTTCGAATGTTTTCCTGATAGTGGTACCTAATGAGTTCCATAGACGTACAGAATGCACAGAGAAGGAATAGGAAAAGAAATCCTTCCTATAATCTGGGGTTCTTTAAGAGAGGCGTGAAGAAGCATTTTTGAAGGCCGGCAAGGTGAGGATGGTTGGTGTGGCAGTTTATAACTGCTGTACCAGCTATCTTCGCGTTTGGACTTTATCACCACTTAACATTAGTTGGGGTAGAATCATTTGCCTACCTCGCTATTTAAAAAAAAAGTCGTTTGTATGATGTGGAATTTCAATGGTAAGGTTAGAAGAGCGCAGAGTGCGTTGTGAAGCAGATGAAAAAAACGAGAAGCATTCTTTTAAGTAATGTGGAGAAGTAGGTAGGAAATCATTCATTCTTTTAATACAAGGAATAAAAATAAACTCAAGATACCAAATTACAGGTTACAGAAGGTTAATAAATCATTTATATATATTTAGGTATATATTTCTATAATAAGATTCCTAATGATATCCTTGATTTGCCTCCTAACATAACGTAACAAAATACACATGAAGAATTGCTTACTTAAGAAAGGTTATTATACTGTCAATCAATATTTGAATGATAAAACGGCCTGGTTGTAATTTTACCTGTAGATTTTTTTTCAAAAGTTGTACTTAAACTAAGGCTCCCAGCCTTAGAAAGAGTTTTGAAGAGAACCTTGCACTTACTCCCTTTCATATACTTGTTCATTTTGTTTTGAAAATTGTTTCTTGCTATTTTGGGACTTTGCACTTATTTTTAGTAAATTCGTTGATTGTCTATTGTTACATATTTGACATTATGTGATGGAAGTTGACCTCAACACTTGTTTGCAAGTTTGATGTCAACTTTCAATTGGACGACACTGTACGAAATAAAACAGGGAGAAAACGCAGCCCTTGCTGAGTTTTCTGCCGGTTCTTCTCAGTATAAGGTCTCCCGCCGTAGATTTGCGAACCGATGGCGTAGCTTTTCGACATTCACAAGTGCTTGTAACAGCCTAGACTGAATAAACGATATTGAATTTTTGAATTTTGAAGAAACATTTTTGCAGGACGGCAAGGTGAGGATTGTTGGTGTAGCAGTTTATAACCGCTGTACCAGCTCTCTTCGCGTTTGGACTTTATCACCACTTAACATCAGTTGGGGTAGAATCATTTGCCTACCTCGCTATTTAAAAAAAAAGTCGTTTGTATGTATTATGATTATATGAGAGCCAATTCAGTTTAGAACGGAAGTGTGAGACATGGTCGTACTTACGGAGGTTGAAAATAAATCTAAAACATAAATTCTGTAGACGTTCCAGATTATTTAGGAGTTCCTCGGAAAGGTCGGTGTAACGGGCATCAGCATAGTCAAGGATAGACAGTAAAGGAGTCTGCGCCAGACTGATTTTGGTACTGATGGGCAAAAAGTTGCGCAAGCGGTTAAGTGAGGAGTTATTCTCTCTTATCCCACCTTCCCCTTTCCTTCAGAGGACCACGCGCGCTGGCCTACGTTGTCATCGTTTTACTGTGGCCACAATTCCAACGCGTACAAAGAAAGGACATTGCTCGTTCCCCATACATTGAATGCCCTATAACGCCCAGCAATGAGAAAATGCTAGTTGTGTTCGGAATCATTCATAAACTCTAATTAAGCATTTGTTGAGATACGGACAACTTGAGGAACCGTGGCCTACTACAGAATGTATTAGATTTTGAGGTTATAATTATTATACTTAATCGTAAGAGATGTACACTTCATATATTCTGAATAGATTTAGTTTTTACCTCTATGTAAGCACTTAAATAATATGCATTAAATGAACATAAAATGCAATTAATAATAAAAATAATAAATGCTTATATTCATATTGATTTATGAGTGTTGTCAGTTGGCACCTATGATACCTATACCTACCTGTAGTAGGTAATAATAGATTCTTTTCAAATGAAATGTTCAGTCTTTCCATTTACCTGTTTCTATATTTTACTATCGGTAATTAGGTATGTACCTGGTTATCAATATGATTTTCATAAAAATAAACAGATATTACATGGGATGGGATAAAGACCGCGACTCGGTAAACGTAGTGTAGGACGCCCTGAGACAAGATGGGATGATGATATTCGTAGGCTGGCTGGAGTGGGCTGGATGAGAGTAGCACAAAATCGGGAGCAGTGGCGTGCATTAGGGGAGACCTATGTCCAGCAGTGGACGAACATGGGTTGATGATGTATGTGTATGTATACATGGGATGGGAGTATAAACTATCTTTACATAATTTCAGAAATAATCTTTTTATAAATATAATATAAATACTAGTAATAAGTATTATTGACTAAGGTACCTAGTTCTATTTTTATGGTCGCCTATATTGCATTTAATAAGGTAAACAATCTTGGCACAACTTTTTAACAGAATCACCCGTTTAATAATAAAATATTAACGAAGCCAATAAACTATTAAAATAAATCGTTATTATAGACTGAAACCTATTGAATCTAGTTATCAGTTGATTTTTAATGCTGTATTTTCAATAAAAAGGAGTGCCAAGTTGGATGAAGAGACTGTAGTATCTAGTAACAGAACTTTAATTTTTTATTTTCTTAAACAGATTGTCCGTTTACAATGATTAATTGCTAATAAGTTAAAAAAATAATAGAAAAATAATAGTGAAGGACATTCTTTTGGGCATGCTAGGGCCGATTTCGTCGATGTCCTTTGGTGACTCATTTCTTTGTCGCACTATCCGTAAATGGAATGCTCTGCCCGCTCACGTGTTCCCTCCCTCTTACAACCTGGGATCCTTTAAAAGAGGCGTGAAGAAGCAACATGCAGGCCGGCAGGGTGAGGATGGCTGGTGTGGCAGGTAGAACTGCTGTATCAGCTATCTTCGCGTCTGGACTTCACCTTCACTTAACATCAGGTGAGGTGGAGTCATTTGTCGGACCTAACTATAAAAAAAAAAAAAAGTGAGATGTGTGCAGCAAACATTTTCTTGCTGAGAGCCTCCATCTGAGGCCTTCAAGAGAAACAGTGATCAAAGACCACCCCAAGGTTTTTGTTCTGTAAAGTGGATGTTATTGCTCAGATTACTAAAAAGAGCAAAATCAACACGCTAATCAGTTTAATTAATATCCTACTATTTAACTTATTCGGGGATAATTATATGGGTCGGTTCATATCTAACGGAAAATGCGTTGAGCGTATTATCGTTGTATGCTTGACGCACTAACGTATCTTCGGTTGGATGTGAAAGGTTGAATGTTTTCTTGTATATTTGCCTGTTCTGGCGTTACGCAACTGATAATATGCGACATATTTTCGGTCAGATATGTACCGACCCTATTTTTATTATTTTAAAGCATGTAACTGCTTGCTGTTTAAATCTAAAGAAATTGTGGGTTACCTACTTATAATGCGAAGAGAAGAGATGGCGCTGCCTTGCAGCTTAAGAATGTCTAGAAGAATTTCGACGCGGTTAATGAGGGCCGCGGTAGCATAATTGGTCAGTGCATTCGCCCGGATTGCGAAGGATGCGGGTTCGAGTCCCGTCTGCTGCCTGGTCCGCGTGGAATTTTTCTAGTTATATTTTCTTTAGATTTATTCGGGGATGTTAAAAGTATGAGAATTAATGGTGAAATACGAACATTGGCTATATAAAAGTTTGCTATAATATTGAATTAGGTAGGTAGTAAGGCAACCACAATCAAATAAAAGCAATATTATCAAATTGACAAAGTATTTATTGTGAAAATCTTAAATAACATCTCGCATACGCGCACCGCGGCGGTATACACAAACAGTTAAAAATTCTGAATAAATAATGCTTCACAAAATTTCACATTTAACAATATTATTTAAGGCAATTTTATATCACAATACTGTTTCAACAGAATGTTATAGAATAGAAATAGTAATATTTTATACTATATTAGGAATAGTTTCAGTACATCACAAGGATTCTGCTTTCAGTTATTTATTAATTATTCACCTGGCACTTTATACAGGGAAACAAACTTAATATTATTATTCTAGTAAAAAATATTGCAACAATTAAACACTATCAATCTCAATAACTATTATTGTAGTTGTTCTAATTCTATCGAACATTAAATTAAATTGACTAATTTATTATTATGCTAGAGAAATAGTTGCGATTCTAATAAATATTTAATTTTATACAAAATATGTATAATAGGCGCGCGAACATCGCCACCAACACAGATAAATAGATTTGTCATTGTTACTCCGAATCGAACGGAATGATTATACAATGAGCACAGCGAAACACTTGTGCTAACCTAATGCTAGCCATACACACTACGAGAAATCGTTACGATCAGACTGTACAGTTCGAACGGAACAGTTTATCGGACGTGGCGTACGTATAGGAAACTGTGCAGTTTTATAACATACACTCTACGTATTTGTTTCTTAGGTTTTCACGCACATCACTCATTAAATAAAACTAGTTTTCACGGGTTAATGCACGAAACTTTATTTATTTATTGACGTTTCGCAGCCTTTTCAGGTCTGCATCGTCAGAATAATGATTTTTTATTTTAAATTGTCGAGCTACCTTCGAGTATAAGTCTTTCGAAGGTAGCTCGACAATGCAAACCTGAAAAGGCTGCGAAACGTCAATAAATAAATAAAGTTTCGTGCATTAACCCGTAAAAATTAGTTTTATACACTCTACGATTTATCGGTACCGTTCGGACGGTACAGTCTAATCGTAACGATTTTTCGTAGTGTGTATGGCTACCATAACTCTCGTAAGGCACTACCGATTTGACACAGCTACAGTTGAGGGGAAATTCTCAATCCGGGAGCACTATAATGCGATTCAAATAAGAATAGGAAAGCCAATGACCTCCATCTGTCAAATGTCGCTTGTAAAGTACAGTTTGCGAAAAAATCTCGGAACACTTTTTTACCACTCAGCTAATTCTAGAATAAAAATCAATCATTTTTAAACAAACAATAACAAATATTGATAATTTATATTGGTTGATATTTTTTTTTCATTTATTGAGCTTTGGCTATGTATGGTTGATAACCTAAATCGTCAACCAAATGTAACTTCATGTTGCGTTAAGAAACTCGATTTAAAACTTTCGTTTACATATAGAATACATGTTCGTATGTGACCTGCATGATTTTTCATAACTACGGCGGTAATGCAGAGATGAGCGGAATTGACGGGCTAGATTCTGATTAATGTTTTTTCTCTCAATCTTAGTAAATTAATTTTATTAAAAAATCTGATGTTTTCTCACTTAATCTATGTAAATAAGTTTTATTAAATAGAAATTCTTTTTTGCTCACTCTACCTATTTGGTGTGAATTGACAGCTATGATGTCAAAATATGGCGCCCAGTCAGTCCTATTCTTAGTTGAATCGCATTATACACTGATACATGAACTGTAATAAATAAATAGTTTACCTCTTGCAATAACACAAGGGCGACATCTTGATAATATTTAATTAAACACATAGTTAAGTACATTCTACTATCGAAGTCCAGCTCCGATTCGTATCGATTTTTCTACTTTTCCCACCGACAACATAATTTCTGTGAAATTACATATGTAAATAATGAACGCGGAGCGAAATTGCGTTCGCCGCATCGCAACCGCGCCGAGCCGAGCGAAATCAACATAATTATGCAATTAATTCAATAACGCGGTGAGGCGCTCCACCGACACTTCTACTTCTTTGTTATTATGACGTCTGCGGCGCGCGATGCATCGAAAGTTATCCGTCACAGGTTGTAATAATACGTTACGGCCACATGGCCGCGCAACTGCTCGCGCTAACAAATTAGGGGCCGCGGAAATGAACGTCCGACCGAGAGAGGGACGCGGCCACTGAAGCCACACAGCCGTTTGTACGCGCACCTCAACGATATTAAATATCGTTGGCGCACCTGTGCACGTTTTTACATCGTTCCAAGAAATAAAATTTAATGACGCTCGTCACAAAGACCGGGTGCGGTATTGGCGCGAGAAAGCGCAGCAAAAAACCGGCGGTTTGTCAGCCGCCGCGCTAAACAAAAGGAAGAAACTGTCGCATTCACAATCGGGAGACGAGTTCGCGAGTATCGCCCGCTTTCCAACAATGCATGCTCGATATAATTGCTGTTACGGATAACCATCATTTGCATTGTTCGCGGTCTGGAGAAAATTAATTGCTTCACAGCCGATCAGCCGTCGAAGCGATCCATCGGCAACTCCTCTCGCTAAATGTTGGAATGACACACTCATGCGAATCACGCTCGGGTGCACTCCATTCGAACGAATTAAACACTACAACTCAAAATAATTAAAAACAGTTCTGAATACCACAGTCACATAACTCACGTATCATCATCGTATCCGTTGGCTGAAACCTGCTGTCCGGGTTGACACGCGACGGTATTTACGTACAAAATTTTGGCGTAGGACGCCCACACACATTTTAACCCACGAACGTTTGTTTAACGGGGGGAAGCTAAGCGGCGCCCGCTTCCTGTTTCTGTTGTATGATAGACTCCCACTGGGCGATGAGCCGCGTCGAGCTCGGCGCGAGGAACTCCTGCCCGGGGCCCAGCTCGCACAACTCGGCCAGCGACTTGGCCGGCTTCAGGCTGCCGAGGGAATCGTGCCCTGAGCTATTCCTGGGCGAAGGCGACCGCAGCTCCTCATTCAAGGCTTCGTACAACTCTCCTATCGATTTCGTAGCCTTAAGTTTTCCCGGCATAGGAATCTCCTCGTCCTCCGATTCGGATGTGGTCTCGTTGTCGCTCAAATCGATATCGAAGGGCTTCTGTTTTTTCCTCATTCGCTTGAGCTCGTGTTCCCGGTCCTTCATCTCTCTCAATTCCTTCTGTATCTTCTCTTCGACGGGAACGTAGCCCTTGCGGATCGGTTTGCCTTCGGGGGTGCGCGAAATGACGGGCGGGCCGACCACCGGTGCTACGACGGGCGAGGTGGGGAACACGAGGGGCTGGGGGGCGGGGGCCACGGGGGTGGAGGCCGCCGGGCCTACGGGGCCGACGGGGCCGCCCGCCCCGACGGGAGAGGTCACTGGCAGCTTGCCCTTGTTAGCGATGAAACGCTGCATGATGCCTTTGGTGCCGGTTTGCGGCGCGAATCTGCGGGTGTAGCCATTGGTGGTGATGAGCGCAGACGCGGGCGGCGGGGAGGGCGTGATCGGGCCCAGTAGGTGGGACGTGGACACGGCTCGGTTGAGCGTCCGCTGTTTGTGCTCGTCGTCGCCGTTCACGTGGCCATTCTGTTTGTTTACTTCGATTGTCGACTCGGACAACAGCCGGTTGATTCTGAAGTGACCCTCCTTGAACTCCCGCTCTCTCTCCGTCACTTCGATGATCTCCCTTTGGATCCTGGAGAGGGGATCCTCTTTTAACAGCGACTGTAACATAAGAGAGTAACGCAAGTTATAAATCGAAGTAGATTTACACAAAATATGCATACTTATGTGAAATTTTGAACATATACAGTGGTGGTCATTATAATTAAATACACCCCTTAATTAACCACAAAAAAACTTACTTATGGTACTAACATTAGCTAAAATTGGTATTTAATCCAGTTTAATTGTTTTTAAACCATACACGACGTTGTATTCTTACAATGTGGGACAAAAAACTTACTTATGGTATATGAGTAAGTTTTTTGTGGTCATTTTTAGGGAGTGTCTTTAATTATGTGACCATAACTGTAAGTAGTTTACCGGTTCTTAAATTATAACGGACTTAGATTGTAATGAAATGTTGCTCAAAATAGTAGAATAAATATTTGAGTAGAAATAATGATGATACCATAACACAATCACCGAGACCGGAAACCCTCGACAAAGATTTGCCTCGATATGTTCATGTTCGGCGTGATCCATCTATTTAATCTCCTTTCGGCCAAAGAGATTGACATAATTATTCATAGCTCAGTTGAAAATTTTAAGTAGAACATCTATAAATAAGTCACAGTAATGCATATTGCCCTGACTTATAAAATGTAATACGTGACATTTGATAAAACTGCAAGGAAATCAAGTACATATTATTGACTGGTCCGACATGACTCGATATTTGTGCCGAGTCGGTTATGATTACGAAGCATTACGTACTCTATATGGCGGCGCCGGCGCAATGAATATAAATAGTAACCTCTATAGCGTCCACTTCATATCTAGCTCAAAGTGAACGTGATTTTGTTGATACATGTTTTGACGTGACAACGTCTTAAATTAGGTTGCGGCTGGGAGTCACTTATGAAAAAGTGTAACGCTCGGTAACGTTACGATGAGTCTCTCGTGTTAAGTTTAAGTTTACATGTACAATGTTTTAGTAAACAAAATATATTTCTATAGTTAAAATTTGTGCAATTCTTATTTTCATTCAATTCCTTGTTCCTATTGTGCAATTTAATTATATTCATATCAATAAATATTCTACCGAGAAAAAGACGTTGTCACGTAAAATCTTCGCCCGTAAAACCGACTTTACAGGCAACCATTTTTTTTCCACTGTAAGTATTATCCTTAGGTAGTAAAATATTATTTTAGGTATATTTTCAATCATGCTCAGAAGATTTCTTTCAATGCAATAACCTCCTCGCGTTCGAGTGGTCCGATTTAGTTTTCACTGCGTGCTTACTTTTCTTTATTATCTTGGATCTGGGTTAAGACCTCCGGTACTCATTAATACCTTCGTTGATTCAGATATCCTAAAATAAATGTTTCATCAGAACGACGCCGGCGAAGGTGTGTACGTTCTCAAAAATAACAAGGGATTCGACATGGCCATTAAGACCTCGGTAGCGGTTAGTGCATTTGCCCAGAAAGCGGATTTTGCGCTTATTCCAATCCAGCCTCGGACCTGGGCCAAGTTGAAAAATATTGGAAAAGTTCTTTAGATTTATAAATATTAGCAGGGCCGGATTTAGGATTGTGGAGGCCCCGGGCCACTTAGGATTTGTATGCTTGTTAACCCATCAAAATTTTGTTATCTTTTATCCTGTTGTGGAGGACCCGGGCCACTTAGGATTTGCATGCTTGTTGACCCATCGAAATTTTGTTATTTCTTAAGCTGTTGTGGAGGCCTCTGGGCCACAGCCCCACCTGCCCTGCCTTTAATTCGGCGCTGAGATTAATATAATCAAATAATCATGTATGTTAGATGTACAAAGTACTGTAGGCTGTAGGTAAAGGTAAAAGAGCAAAAAAAATATCAAAGGAAAAGATGTTTACTAGTGTTTACTAGTTGGAATTTGAAAGATTTTTTTTTCCGAAGTCTCTATTGTGGGGGCCCCTCGTTTGTGGAGGCCCCGGGGCTTTCGCCCCGGTTGCCCTCCCCTAAATCCGGCAGTGAATATTAGGCAGTTGATGTTTAAAAATAAAAATAAAGATTGTCATTTCGTTTAATATTAATTTTTCTTTTAAATATATTAAGCTTAACCTAATCGCAATGATAGCTATATGTAATATCGCCGAGTTATCAACCACGCCCATTGTTTCAAGACACGTGTTATTGAATTAGTTAAGTTTTGCGTCACATGAAACTTGGGGAGAGAGAATAGTTGGTCCCGGCTGCATCTGCAGTCGTTAGCACCCACCAATCTTCACTGGGCCCGCGTGGTGGGTAATGGCCTAATCTTCCATCCACAAGGAAGGCCTGTGCCCCAGCAGTGGGGACATTAATAAGCTGTTGATGATTATGATGATTGGAAACGTGTAATGCAATCTGTACGTGGGAAGATTACGATACTTAACCAATTTTTACAATTTCCGTTTTAGTAATTTAATGCTATCGTTGTGGTGTCGTCGTAGGTACTCATGAAATCTTATCCGGCACGCTAACGATAATCTAGATCAGCTATACTCTAAGTGTGTTCCGCGGAACCCTAGGGTTCCGTGATACCTCTGTCGGGGTTCCGCAAGAATTTAGAAATAAAAAAATCAAAACACCTCTCTCTGGTCGCTCCGCGGCTGTGCGGACTCCGCGGCCGCGCGGAGACAAAACGCTATGAATGTTATTTATTTATTTATTTGTATTTGTATAAGCTTGTGTTACATTAGCTGGTACAATATCTCATAAGTTTGGTCTCAACAATTTTATACTTGTACAACGCGTTCGCTCTAAGTTTGCCGGTCTGTGGAATGCGCGTACCCTCCCCCACGTGACAACAAAACTTATAATGTGTCATAGTTTTACCCAAATATCTAACGTACACAATTTTTATTGTTACAATTAAATAAAAAATTTCGAACGTCATACACTCATACCTATCGCCAGCGGCAAACTTAAAACGAGCGGGTAGTATACTTGTAAGCGCTCAGTCTCTTTGATAAAAGCCGCCTCTGAATTAGACGCTATAGTTGTCAACTAGCGACTTTCGTCTCTAACTTCAAAGGATAAAGTCGATATTGTTTACAACGCTATTTTTAAATTTCTGTTTTTATTTTTGCTTTTTGTTTATCAAAGGTGCCGACTCGAGTATTTTCGAGAATATTTGAGATCGAGTCTAGGACTAAGTATAAAAGCGGCGATCGCGCGTTGGCGTCGTCAGTTGATGATTAGCGTTCGGAGCGATAAGTTACTACCTACTTACAAGCTCGCTAGCGAGAAACTGGTGTTCATTGTTTTACTGCCTGCTGTATTCTGTTGTCTCAGTTTTATACATTTCTTCCCTGTAGGTTCTAAATTTAGTCTCTTATACGCAGTAACGATTGTGCATTATTTAAACCCCACTATCCTGACTTGTAACATTATAAATAAAGAAGAATGGAACGTTGGCTTAAAGGTGTTAAACGTGTTCCAACAACATCTTCTAATGACGCTGAATGTTCAAAAGCAATGCGCGCGGAGAATTTAGCAATCACCGATCCAGAAGATGATGCCACGAGTGCCACGACGTCAAGCTCGACGGTTTCAAAGACGAAAAAAAGGAAGTATGATGAATCTTATATCAGTTTCGGATTTGTTGATTCCAACGGCTCACCTCTCTGCATGCTCTGTAGTAAACTGCTTCCTAATAGTTCCATGGCACCTGCCAAATTGCGTCGACATTTAGAAACCGTACACCCCGAGACTAAAGACAAGAATAAAGAATTTTTTGTTCGCAAAAAAGATCAGTTATTAGAAAGTCAAAAAAATATGATGCATGTAACACAAACTACCAACGAAAAGGCCACGGAGGCATCATACTTAGTTAGCTATCGCATTGCACAAGCAGGTGAAGCGCACACTATCGCTGAGAAATTAATAAAACCATGTGTATTAGACATAACAAAATGTATGCTTGATGAAAAATCTGCAAAGCATCTTTCTACTGTTCCGCTATCAAACGATACTGTTTCACGACGAATCCATGATCTGGCAAGCTACGTCAAACAAGAACTAGTTACACGTCTACAAAATACACGATTCGCTTTGCAAATGGACGAGTCGACTGATGTCGCTGGTTTGGCTATCCTGCTGGTTATTGTGAGATATCCATATAAAAGTTCTTTTGAAGAAGACATGCTTATGTGTTCATCGCTGCTTACAAACACTACCGGGGAAGAAATTTTTAATAAAATAAATATATTTTTTGAAGAACATAATCTCAGTTGGAACAATTGCATTGACATTTGTACAGATGGGGCCAAGGCGATGACAGGTAAAACAGCAGGAGCAGTGTCACGAATGAAAAATAAAGCGCCTAATTGTAGTTCCAGTCATTGTATTCTGCATAGACAAGCACTTGCGATGAAGCAAATGCCGTCTAATCTAAAATTAGTTATGGATGAAGCGGTAAAAATAATTAATTTTATCAAATCACGACCACTACAATCCCGATTGTTCTCATTATTGTGTGAAGATTATGGCAGCAAACATAAAACACTGCTGCTCCATACAGAAGTGCGATGGCTGTCTCGGGGAAAAACTTTAACAAGGCTATTTGAACTTAGAGCCGAGTTACAAATGTTTCTTTCAGCAGATACTTCTTTTAATTTGAAGGACCGTTTGTATGATAAAACTTGGTTGTTCCGATTGTCTTTTATGGCGGATATCTTTCAAAAACTTAACGAATTAAATTTATCATTGCAAGGTAAACAGACAACAGTGTTTCAGGCCTATAATAAAATAACTACTTTTAAAAGAAAATTAGATTTTTGGATCATTTGCATTGGTAAGAAAGAAATAGAAAGTTTTACGTTACTCACTGAGTTTGTTAGCGAAAACGACTCAGAAATGTTTGAAGATAATGTGTTTGAAGAATTGGTCCAATATCTCAGTTCGATGCGCGCATCTTTTGAAAAGTATTTTCCCGAAGAACACAATACAAAAATTAAAGTGAACTCCTGGATTCATAATCCTTTTTTACCCAACTTGGAAAAGCCTGAAAACATGTCAAATGAGATATATGAATCTCTTTTAGAAATGTCATCAGACACAAGTATGGAGTCATTGTTCAAAACGACGCCTCTTAATGATTTTTGGTGCAGAATCCAAGATGAATATGCAATGCTTGGCCAAATGGCTCTGGATATTCTTCTCCCGTTCCCAACTACATATTTGTGCGAAACAGGATTCTCTACCTACGCAGCCACGAAAACAAAATATCGCAATAGACTGGACGCCGAAGCTGATATGAGACTCCAACTTTCTTCCATCAAACCTGATATCAAGCAATTGATGAAAAATAAAAAACAGTTTCATACCTCCCACTAGTTAGATTTTTTCTTTTTTAATGTTTTCTATTATTGTCCTTACCAAGTGGTGAAGTAAATAATAATTAGTAACGGATACATTGTACTTTTATTATGCTGATTAATATAGAATACACTTATAAAAATAATTGTTTTATTGTAGGGTTCCATCAAGTATTTTGCTTCCCAAAAGGGTTCCGTCATTTAAAAAGTTTGAGAACCACTGATCTAGATCACCGAATCCATTATCTCCGAATGCTTTGGTATGATATAGTTTTACCATTATTGTATTTTGGACCAATGTTATTTTTTATAAAATCGTTTTTGGGCCAATGTTAATTTGTATAAAATCGTTTTAATCTCCTTTGATTAATAAAACAATTGGAACCGATGTACCTAGTTATTTATAAAGCTTAATTCTTGTTATAATGTTAGACTCGAGTTGTTAATAATTGTAATTGAATTTGAAACTTGTATCCCGCTACTTAAAACTAGTGTTAATAAAAATCTGATATATTAAGGACACATGTATAAAATATAATGTATAAAAACCAGATAAAACAATGAGTTTGCGGTGTCTTAAGTCAGTCGACTGGTTTGACCATATAAATTTTACTACGGGAAATATTTATAACTTATAAACATGAACCAGAAAGTTAATGTTAAGCAACGCCTATGTTAATGCATGTTATAAACAATATCATAGATGTACGTAGTTATGTGCTTCTCGTTTTAAAAAGAAGTTTATGTAAGAGTACATAAATCAGACCTTAATAGTACTTATCTCACACTAGATAGACCACAAATGGGGCTAAAATAACCCCACACATAAAAATAACCGACCAATGTTCCTAAAACCCGGGTGTTGTAACATCTACATACCTAGTTCGAAAACAACAAACTACCCTCCATATTTTTCTCTATATAGTAATAAAATCGTTCAGAGAACGTATAATCGGTTATTTAATTTATATCACCTAAATCTGTTTCTAACGAGCAGTCTTTCTCGTGTCTCTCTCACTACTGGACATTGGCGAAATTTCTGTGTAAAACGGAGAACGCCACAGAAAGGAAAAAAAATCGTTCAGCATCAACCGTATAAGAGATTTCATTGGAAGGGGGTCAGCGGCTCGTGCGAAATACACGTTGACCTACGACTGTGCGGTGCAGGCACAGCGGCGCGGTGGGTGACCCCGATGCCCCCATTCCACGGGCCTTGCCTCCCAAACATGGACGATATTTATCAGATGTGTCAAAATAACATTCATATACATTATTATAATATATATCTACTGAGTTAGAAACAACTCGACCTCTAACAGGAAAAGTATAACAATTTTTGAATTTGCTTTTCATACTCATAAGACACTTATATGAATGCATTAATCAGCGATCGCATTGACGTAAGCGTTTCATAAAACTATACCTAATCATGTTGTTAATCAACTTCGAAAGTTAATACTCTTTAGGTATCCAAAGATAAGACAATAGCCACTTATTTTTTATTACAAGAAAAAAAAAACAATATCGAAGATAATGACTATAGTTGAGACGCGTTATATGTAGTTATAACAGTACAGCGGCGATCTCGTTTTTAGCGATGTGGCCGATTGTGGTCCACGTCTCTCGCGAGCTTTCTACGATCTCCGATATCGGCACACATTCCCAAATACGCATTATTCTCTGCGCAAGAAAGCGCTAATTTAACCACGACGGGAAGCCGGCTGCAGCCGCAACCTCGGTCATGCCGTCGACCTACGAACCTAGCGATCATAATCGTAGGACTAGGCGCGAGCGTCCCTAAACTGGAGCACGTTCGCATTCCGACAAAACAATAACCGTGGACAGTGTAAAAAAATGTCAGGTACTCACTTCACCCATAGCGAACTTTGAAGCAATCCAACTTTATGAACAGGAAGGAAGTTAAAGAGGCGAGCACATATGAGAACTGTTTCACGGTTTGTACATCACGGCACGGGCACCTGCTGCGGGTATAGAAATATTGCTAAGCGGCGGCGTAGAATGCGTGCGCTGCGACTGCCGGTCGCGGGCTAACGTCCTCTGCGGCCGGCGCGTATCGCTCACCTCACGAGCCTAATTGGCGCGAGAGTGAGAGAGCCCGATAACGTTACTTATTGAAAAGAGAAAGGGGCATAACACCTCGACACCTGGCGCTGCTTTACCGACAGCCTGCTGTTTTACCTACAGAGTGTGGTATGGCGCGCGTTCGAAACTTGTCACTGCCGAGGATTTCCGCGCTATTGGGTTTCGGAGGGTCTTTCTTGGTTCCCCTTTTTTATCTAACGGAAAAGGATGCAACCTATAAGGCTCTACATAACAAAGATCGGTTTATAACAAACATTTGCATGTAATCAATATCTTCTGCGGTTTTAAAGCATAGACAACATTTCCTTATTGACTTGGAACCCTAAAAATTTAAGTGGAAATTCATCATCCAGGTAAGAATTGGATAAATAGCCAAAACTCAGGTTTTCTAAATTAATATCTTTCTAGGTAATTGCAATTTGAATGTCAGCTTAGAAAACTTAGACCTGTGCATGGTACATGCTACTAAAACATTATTTTTAACTGACCGATAAAATATTGCTGTCGGAATAAATGCAAAGGTATTTTATTTTTACCTCGGACTAAATACTGTTTTAATCCAAGTATTTTACAAATAAATTCTTAGTGACTCGAGCTAGTTTTCATCTAGCAAGTGTATAGAAAAATATATTCTCCCTATTCCATCCATAGGGAAGGCCTGTGCCCCAGCAGTGGGGACATTAATAGGCTGATGATGATGATGATGATGATGAAGTGTATATAGATCCAAGATATCAGTAATAAATCTTTATTAGGCTGCAAAGGTCAATTTTATGTCAGTCTTCGTCGAGAGCAACGACGCAATCAGAACCAAGTTTTGTTAAAGTTAGGTATGAGAATATGCTCACACAACTGTGGCGCACCTGCCCCGGTCACAAGGCCCTTATAACCTCTTTCTGTGTTTTAACGGTTTCTTGATTAACTGGGTTATCTGAATAAAAATAAAGATATAAAATAATTACAACTTGTGATCGCTTTAATATTTATTTATTAATCCGGTGACAATAACGACGGACGTCACAGAAATCTAATGGCATAAGTAATCTTTTTGCCTTTTAACAAAACACTCAAAAGAGAAGTTAATGACTAGCATTTTATTACACTGCAGTATTTGATTTATTTAAAAGTAAATAGGATATTTATAGGTATGTATGTTTTGCTTGGAACATATCTGATTAAAATCGATACTAATATTATTAATGCGGAAGTGTCTGTCTGCCTCCTTGACTAACACAATTTTAGTTGAACTTCGAATACTAGATACAAAATCTGATTTCTAGAATAAATATCCTAAGAGGGGTGATGACTATTTTTTTTCTTCGTTTATCAGGTAGATTATCAAAAAGTGTTGGACACGTATTTTTTCTTTTTTCACATAATATAAACATTGCAGAGATATATTCATTTGAAAAGTCGCATGACGTCACGTTTGAGTACACTTATAAGTGAAAATTCACTCAAAAGTGACGTCACGAGCCCCTACTCCCTAACTTTGACGCGCTATAACTTTGTCACTTCTTGGTTGATTGCCCAAAGAAAAAATACGTGTCCATTATTTTTTGATCATCTAACTGACGGACTAAGTAGAATTTCGTTTACTGTACCCCGTCATCACCCCTATTGAATATGATACTAATTAATGGTTATTTATGATACTTAGTGCAGTAAGTTGGTTTTTACAAACAAGTAGACGAAGTCCAGGGCTTACCATAGTCACGAGTTTGTAAATACCAATTTCGCACGAATGTCATACGTTTTCAACTCATTTGCAAGAAAACAGCACCTATACCTAATGTAATAAGAAAATGGCACGCATTTTCATTTTTTTTTTCTAGTTCTATTCTTCTCTATTGAGAAAGGCAAAGACAAAGCAGCCATCGTCTTATTTTTGTATTAGAATGTGGGTGTAACGCATTCTAATGTTTCTTGGAGTGTTTGCCACGAAATATATCGAGTTGGCTTTTTCGATAAGCTTGTGTGAGGTAGTCAATACTACAATAAAGTTCTCACGTCCACTTGACCGGAATAGCGTATATTTTAAAGATTCTACTAATTTTTCAGTTGCGCAGACGGTTGTAACACAACATCACACCAATTTTATTTCACAATATCCACTATGAACAAATGAATAATTAAAATAAGACGCCAACCGCACTCGATGAAATCCCGCCAAAAACTCGCGCGCATTTTCAAATGGCGCCACATATTTCTTTTTAGTAAAAATGTGAAACAAAGGCAAAGATTAAAATCTTTCCGAAGCCGGTTCCACCGAAATTAAAAAAAAACGTAAAGGATACGCACGTTGCTATGTATGTGAGTAGGTAAAACGTTTTACCGCACACTGCCGCACGTAATTTTGAACTTTCGAACGATAAACAACCTCCGTAAATGCTTTTTTTGAGCAAATGTGTTGAAAATGATCTTTGTTGTTGACAAATACTTTTAAACTAATAATTCCAAGTAATTATTATTCTTATGAACAGCAAGAGACTAATTATATTAATAATTACAGTTTTTTAATATTTTTTTATACAGGCTGGTCCAATTTAGCATATTACATTTTTTTAGATTCCTCGCGCCTCGAAAATACCCCATGTATGTTCCGCTCGAAAACTAAGAAAAATCGCGAATTTTTCTTAGTTTCGAGTTATATTTTTTCGGATCCCCCAGGTGCAAGGAATCTAAAAAAAATTTGTTGACGTCACTAATTGGACCACCTGTATATTAGTATGCTATGTGGCTTGTATGCCCTTAGTATGCACATACGAGCCGACGGCATGATATGATAGACATAATGTGTAGTATTGTACATAATATAAAAAAATGTGTGCGTGTACTAGTGTACACACGTAAGAAGTGAAACTTCTTTATGGCCTTATTTTTTTCGAAAAATGATCTACATGCAACTTTCCAGAAATATATATATAGGCGTGCGCTAAGATTTTTCAAAAACTCACCCACTAAAGGGGTATAACTACACCTTACCTTACCTTACCTTACCTTGTGTGAAACACGAATATTTGCTGTCGATACTTTTTTTTTTAAAGTTGACAGAAGAAGCAATTGTTCGGATGAGGTAAATAGTGCTCTTTTAAAAAAAAGATGGCGCGTAACCAAAAAACGTGACGCGTAACCGAATAAAAATGTGACGGTAATTTTTTTTCCAACGCCGATAAAGAAGTTTCACTTCAATAAATGTATGGATTCATTAATTTATTTTTACATTCATTTCGTTAAGAAGTGAGTTTTCATGGTTGACTCTAAACTTAAAACTAAATTTAAGATCAGTCTAACTTTTCATTCTGTAAAGGGAATGACAAGGATACACTGTTGTCAAATTTAAGTTTAGAGAATCATGGCAGAATCGACACTTAACCATATGCTTAAATTATAAAATTATCTTGGGATGTGCATCTAAATGACAAACTTTTTGATGTCTTGTCAAATCACTGGGCCTGTAGAATCCACGGGAACAGTGTTGGCATATGTAGGGCGTATCATTTTTGTTATGATGTTTAAATAAATGGTATTCCAACATCTTAGCAGTTGGGAAGGCTTTAGTACAATCTGGTATAGCGCATTTAAACTTTGTAGCATTTTTATGCTTAAACACCATGTGATGTGACAGACTCCTTTGTGCAGCAAAACTTTTTTCACACAGTTTGCATAGAAATGGTTTTTCACCAGTATGTTTACGCATGTGTGCCTCTATATCAGAATATGACTTGAAACAAATGGAACAGTGTCCTGACTTTTCTGAATGAGCCCTGCGTATATGACTGGTTAAGTTCCCTTTCATTGTGAATGCCATACCACAGAAACTACAAATATTGCACTTTTCATTAGAATGGACACTCATATGTGTGTTCAGTGTAGTACGACTCTTGACAGATTTGTTGCAGAGGTGACAGGTGAATTTTCTCTCATCACTGTGGACAGACTGATGTTTTTTCACCAAGTTTCTGTCATTAAACCTTTTCCCACAGATCGGGCAGCTGAACGGTTTCTCCCCTGTGTGGACACGTTTATGGCGAGTCAGTGATGCTATCTGGCTAAATGACTTGGAACAGTATGGACAGACATACGGTTTCTCATTTGTGTGCAACCTTATGTGTATTATTATGTCATTTTTTCGGTAGAAACTGCTGCCACATGTTTCACAAGTGAATTTTCTTTCCCTTTTATCGGAATGCTTGGCTTCAAAGTGTCTTTTCAATGAGCCCTTGGTACGAAACTGTGCTTGGCAAGTATCACAAACAAATGGTTTTTCTCCAGTGTGTGTCCTCATGTGTGTTTCCAAAGCAGATTGACTCATGGTAAGCTGTCCACAAAGTTCACACCTCAATGGACCAGTTTTAGTTCTTTTGTCATTTTTCTGGTTCCTCTTAGGCTTTCTCATACTTTTTTTATCACCTTTGGTAATAGATGTGTCTTCATCACTATAACCTAATTTTGAAATGTCTGCATACAAAATGTCAGTATCATAGTTTTGTAACAACTCATCGCACTTAACGTCTAGTTCTTCCTTAATTTCTAAATCGAAAACAATTTCTGATTCCTGACATTGGTTTTCTCCTATACATTGATCTTTAGAACCATCTTCTTTGGAATCTTGATACTTAAGATATCTGAGTGTTTTATCAGAAATCTCACATCTTGTTACAAAATCATAGGCTAAGTTTAATTCGTTAACACAACATTCACAAATGCAATCTGGTAAACCGTCATTTTCGTGTATTTCAATTTTTACGCACTTTTTAAGTTTAGCACAATATTGTATTTCATCTACAGCGTCGAATAAAGATTTGATAGCAGTTTTGCTCAAACAAACCCTGCATAAAGCCTTTTCCATTGTGAATTACGAAGAAAATAACCTTCGAAGTTAAAATTATTAAATACATATGGTTATTTTATGAATACTTTAAAATTAATCATAACTTTTCGTGTCAGTATTCACTGTGAAAGGTATCTTATTTATTGTTATATTGCGGTTATTTAGAAATGAAATTTAAATTTTATTTTGTTTGATTGATAGTAAAAATTGACATTATTTTGATTTGTTATTTTAACTTTTATGCTTAGCGAAGGCAAAGAAAACTTAGTTCATACAGTCCTCTTTTCATTTTCTAAAATACATGTTTAGTTAGACTGAGCGAAATATTCTATTCAGTGTTTTGAACACTAAATTATAATAGATAATAACTAACTTTCATATCCACATAAAAATATTAATAAATTAATAATAATAATATTTATAACACACATCAATTAGCCTAGTCCCAAAGTAAGCACTTTAAAGCCCTGTGCATATTAATGTGTCGTGTGGCTCGTAGCGCGCCAGAAGTACATCGATTTCATACATTTACTATGATTAGAAACATATTCACGTGTTGTGTCGACGGTAGAACGTCTCTCTCTCTCTAACCCATATTAAATGTATGAAACCGGCGCGCCACGACACAAGTATATTTTTATAGAAATACATATTAAACATCCATGACTGCAGTACAAATGCTCGTATTCATCACACAAATATATGCCCCCACCGGGATTCGAACCGGACGTCTCGAGTCGGCTACACCATGAAACCCGGCATACAAACCACTCGGCCTCGAAGGTGGTCATAAGTTAGATTAGATAGCGGATAGAATACATACTGTTCATATATTAAGTCTATTTATATAGAAATACATATAATACTACTAATTAATCTATTCAAACATTCAAAGCCTGCGCTGTGTTAAGCAGTCTAGGAGCGGGCGTCCGCTCGGGCGTGCAGTTTTTATATAATTTCATAGAGCAGCGCTGCGTGAGACATACCGAGCTGTTAATAAATAATATAATAAAAACTACACGCGGAGCGCGCTGATTCTTAATCGAAATTCCGTTCAGTGTGACCAGAAATTGTATATATTATCAACTTCTTTAAAATAATGAATAAATAAATAAAAATACCCAAATACTACTTAGTACACATCTCTTCACCCGCTTACATTTGTCTCTCACTAAACCTTGGTTGGCTGGAAAAGATTTTTCTTCGAGATATGCCCTCCTTTGCTCATATATTTATGTTTTGTATATTACATTTTTTTGTGTGCATTTATTAAAATATATTAAAATATACCAACTTGGTATAATCCAGTCTTTGTTTGAGGACCATTTCGTTTAATAAATAGATAAAACTTACACGTCAATGATGAAAATGAAACTACACTACCTTGACCAGACTGTATAAACTTAATATCCTGTGCATACAAAGAGAAAAAAAAATTATAAAAAAACAAATGTCCATGTCAAATTGGGAATTCCGAATTTCGGATTTGCGAGAGATTTGGAACAAAAATTTGCTATTTTCAGACTGGACGACGATTAATAAACAGAATAATAAATGTATTGAAATAAATTCGAAGCATAAAGTAAGTGCACCTGCAGTAATTTTATAATCATTAAATAATTACCTATATCTTGATAAAAGAGTCTCACTTTTAAACCCGGTAGGAGGTTAGGTTAACTTATAAGCTACCTACCTATTTAATTTCGTTAATTTTAGGTACCTAATTAGAGACATTAAACAGTGAAAGATATGTCGTACCCAACTAAGGAACAGAGAAAATTATGCTGGGATGCCAGAGACCGTTACTGGGAATGTCTAGACAATGAAACTATCAAAGATAGCTCTCAGAAACCTAAAGTCTGTTTAGAATTTAGGAGAGTTTTTGAAAATTCATGTCCAACTCAATGGGTGACCCACTTCGATAGGAAACGAGATTATAATGTCTTCAAAGAGAAAATGCAGAAAGAAGGCTACGAGCCAATAAAAGAATCGCAATAAAATTGCACAAATAGTTAACTTTATTTAAATTAATTTACTGTAAATAAATATTTATATATGTAGTAAAACTATTCATTAAATAGAGCTTGACTTTTATTTCGTGATGTCCTGATTAGGGTACCTACTAGAACTTTGTAAATTTAATTAAAGTTTGAGTTCATGCAGAAAATAGAAGGATTCTTACTAAATTGTATCTTTTCAGATCTTCTAAAATGATGGAGGAGTTGGTTGATCTTATAACTAGGTTAAATATTCCATCAAATAATTTACCAGTCCTTGTAATACAAGTGAGTTTTATTAATATAATTCCTGAAAATATTTATGTAACTGGTACAATAACATTTGTAGCTATATAAATATAAAAAAAAATGGATATCAATGTAAATACTTAATTTCAGGAATTACTGTTTAAAGCAAGGAGGTACACAACTTTCTATGAAAGCGAGGACAAATTGTGGATTGAAATATTAGATATACTATGGAGACATCTGTCCGTAGGTCTACCCAAATTAGATGATCAGTTGTTGTGTGCCACATGTTTCTATACAGTGCTAAGTTTTACGAACAAACAAGAATTCTATTTAGCCAGAATTCTGACACTTATCAACTTTAATATTACAGCTTTAGGTGATTGTAAGGTTCTTACTGCTTCAGAAAGATCTCTAGCAATATCTTTGATGTACGGCATGTTCCAATCGACATTCCTACTTAAGGATTCCACTAAAGATATACCAACAGTTCCAAATATTATAGAAGTAACTGTTGATTTATTAATAACACTAGCATACGAGTACTCAAGGTACACATTTCTTGCTTTTAAAACTATTCACGCATTTAATAAAGTTTTGGGGACATTGTTTCAAGAGTCTGTATATTGTGAAAGGAATTTGAAAAGACTTCTCCATTTAGTGAACAACAATTGGGAAAATCCTATCACAGGTGTTAGAGATTTAAACAGATTGATTTTCCAAACTCTGGTTGGATTATTAAATGGAGATTTGTATGAAAGAATATTAAACGATATCAATAATTTCCAATGGAACAAAGCAAAGTATTTGATGCTTTCAGAGATTATTGAGCAGTACAAAAAAAGTGTTGTAAACTTCATAATTGAGAATAATTGGGTTGATGGGGTCATATACAGTTTGTATAAACCAGGCTTGGTTTCTGCAGGAGCTGATATGTACTTTGCTATATTAAAAAATCTAACATCTCAAGATGACTGGTGCCTTTTATTCTTAAAGGGATCTGTTGAAATATTGAAAGGAACGAGTCATAAAGCAATAGAGAATTTTAGTAACTACTGGTGTTTGACAACATTCAAGAGATTCCCACAAGTAATGACAACATTAATTGATGAACTATCAACTTGTGAGAGGTCTGATATTTATATTTACAGCAATTTGTGTATATTGAAACAAGGAAATAAATTAGGAATTTTAAATAATAAACAACAACAGAAGTCTTATGAAGACATCGAAAATGTCATATTAAATGGCTTGGACCACTGGAATACCTCAGTCAGGACATTAGCATTTGATATAATTTCGACATCACAAAGAAACTCAGACCTAAATGAATGTGAACTTGTTATAAATTACTTGCAAAATAATATTAATTCCGATTGTACAGTACTAAGAATAAGCATGCTGAACAACTTTAAATACTACATTAATAAAATAAATGAGTCATTCCGAATTGGCAGTAATGATATTATTGCTATTGAAATATTTTATAGGAAACTCCAGAAACTTATTATCCAATCGCTAAAATTACAGGGAAATTACCAAAGAAAGATCACAACCCTCAAACTTTGCAATATTTTTCTTAGCTCTTTTAACTATACAAAGAATCAAAGAAAAGGAAGAAAGTCAAACAGTACATCAATTATATTATTATTGGAAGAAAAAGATTGCTGGGTATTGTTTAAAGAAGAGTTTATTATAGTTTTATTCAGTCTTTTGCAAGATCCTGCAGATGATATTAGAGAAAGTACGATCCAGCTAGTTTTAGATCACTATTCCAAAAAGATTACACCAGTATTTATCAATAATCTTATAAAAGATGCTCAAAGTGACATTCAGAGCAAATACTTCTACCAAATTAGTTGTGGCCAAAGTATACTTAAATTACTTGCTAATTTATTTTTGAAGGAATCATATATGGAAACTGTTTTCAAAAATGTGGATGAATTATTTATATACATATACAACGAATTATACACCGAGTATAATAAAAAGAGAAATATTGTTAAATCTATTGAGGCCGGAAAACAACTGCATTCACTATTGGGCGTTCTCCTCCAAATACTAAAAGTTTCAAAAGAAAATTCATATGAATTAAAAAGTGCTACAGAGAAATTACCTGAACTCATACAGATATCAGAAGAAATTGCAAGTCAATTCACGTGGGAAGAGGAAACTTCGACAAGCTCAGATTTCTCAAAAATGAATGAAATGATACAAAATATGATCATTGCCTCCGGGTACAATCCTTTGGATGAAAAGGATTATACGAAAATTTCAGGGCTCCAGCAAATTGTCCTCAATTGTTTGTGGTTTAATGTTAAGGTAAAAATTGAATTATTAAATAGAAGTACGCTCAATCTACATAAGGAGATGATTACTTACTAAGTGATGTTGATGTTCTTACAGGCATCGTGTGATTTGGCATCTTTTCTGATACAATTTCTCGACGATCAACACACAGATCTGTGTGAAAAATGTCTTAATATCTTGATGCATGTTCTGGAAACATCGAGACACAAAGGCGTAATAGAGGGCGCTGGTTCAGCTTTAGGTAAATCCATAGACTAACAACAATAATGTAGAGAAAAGTTTACTAGAAAAAATTCCACGCGGACCAGGCAGCAGACGGACTCGAACCCGCACCTTTCCGCGAATGCACTGACCATTATGCTACCGCGGCCCTGACGGCCGTGTCGAATTTTCTCTAGCCTTAGGCTGCAGTTTTCTTTAGATTTAAACATGTAGCAGTTAAATGCTTAAAAAATAAAAACATAACAATAATGTAATAAAAAAATAAGTACTCTTAACACAATCCAGGGGTTAGCTATTCAATAATTTCAACTTCTATCATTGAAACATATTTACGTAAGATCCCTTCTTCAAACGCAATTGAATTAAATTTAAATTTAAAATTCAAGTTTCTACCAATTCATAATTCAAACTAAAGTCTATTTTGATAAGGGTTGAAATAAGGTGAGGTTATGAGCACTATTGTTTTGACTAATATAAAGACTATCGCTTTTCTTCTATGTAGTAATAGAGATCGGAAGTCCCTATACATATTAAACATCCATGACTGGAGTACAAATGCTCGTATTCATCACACAAACATCTGCCCCCACCGGGATTCGAACCCGGGACCTCTCGAGTCGGCGACACCATGAAACCCGGCGTACAAACCACTCGGCCAAGGAGGTCGTCTAATATCACACTAATATTATAAAGGCGAAAGTTTGTGAGTATGTGAGTGTGTATGTTTGTTACTTCTTCACGTCTAAACGGCTGGAGCGATTTTAATAAAATTTGGTATGGAGTTAGCTGACACCCTAGATTAACACATAGGCTACTTTTTTTATCCCGAAAAAGTGTTAGGTTCCAGAGGGATTTACAAAGAAACTAAGTTAACGCAGACGAAGTCGCGGGCGACCTCTAGTATCTTTATATATATAATTCTTCTGTGAGTGTGTATGTCACTGAACTTCTCTTAAACGACTGGACCGATTTTGATGAAATTTTTTGTGTGTGTTCAAGGGGATCTGAGAATGGTTAAGATTCACAAAGACGTGTAGACAGGACAACGTCTGTCGGGTCCGCTAGTATATATAATAAAATACATGATTTAATATTTTGCAGGTCGAGCAATCCAATACTTATCGTCGTTGCCGGATGACACAGCTTTATCTAAAATTCCACTTTTTCTACTGAAACGTAAGCTAAAGGAGCTCATATCCTATGCGTCCATGGCGTCTGTAACCAGAAGGGGCGCTGGTCTCTCTATTATGGTCCACAGAATAGTTTCAAGTGATATGAAAAAGGGAAAGGTAGGTTTTGGTTTAAGCGAATAACTCAAATCAAAGCAGATCAGGAGACTACTTGCCTAACGGTATAGCTATGGCTATAGCTATCGCTTACGATTTAGTTTTGTTATTTCTGAACCCTTAAGGTTTTCAAGGTTGAAGAGCTCGATGGCGCAAGTGGTTAGCGCATTCGGCTGTGATCGTTGAAATTAAGCAACTCTCGCAGTGGTCGGTCATTGGATGGGTGACCAAAAACTATACTATACTATACTATCTCGAGCTCCTCCGCGCTTCGGAAGGCACGTTAAGCCGTTGGTCCCGGCTGCATCTGCAGTCGTTAGCACCCACCAATCTGCACTGGGCCCGCGTGGTGGGTCATGGCCCAATCTCCCTATTCCATTCATAGGGAAGGCCTGTGCCTGAACAGTAGGGATAGGGCTGATGATGATGAAGGTTTTAAAATGCCTCGGGCTCTTTTTTTCTTTTGCATTAGTAATATCAATATTAAAGATATATTTTATAATGAGCGTGAAGTATTTGAAAATCTTCGGCGGTCAGAAATAACAATATGAAATCGTAAACGATGGCGATAACCATAACAATCCCGTTACGCAATTAGCCCCCAGTTTGTGTCGAGCATGATCATCTAACATTTTTGTTTCCTTTTGTAGCCACTCTTTCATCATTTCATGGAAATAATTTTGGATGCCTGCAGCAATACCAAAGAAGTCCCAAATAACCCTGATGAGAATCAAAGAGATCTACCAAAAGCTATTTACATACATTTTCTAACGAGAATAGTCATTGACAGCAGCTTATCGTCAGACATGATGTATTATTCGGCGGAATTAGCTGAAATAGCTTTTCAGAATTTAATCAGTCCTCATTGGCAAATAAGGTAGATAAAATACTTTCAATATTTTTATACCAAATTATTAAATACTAGCCGTGCCCCGCGACTTCACCCGCGTTTTTCTCGTTTCCGTTGAAATACCGAGATAAAATATATAGGTACCAACTCTTAACATCTTACACACGTGATGACTTTTAAACGAAATATCCGATTGAGATGAAACAAAAAGTATTTTACTTCTACATAAATACTCTTGATAACATAATGCTTAATTTCGATAAAGATTAATATTACGATACATATTTAACGTAGTTTTTTCTTCTTCAGACGATTTAATAATTATTTTGAACACAAAATCGGTTATTGTGATTAAACCATGATAGCTAGATATATGTTCTCGTGGACTTTTTTGTAGGTCTTAATGGGATCTACAAACCCGTAGTACATCATTTTGTTCTATTGTCAATAGTTTTTGCAGCGCACGCAAAACTAGTTTTTCGATTTTACACCTTGTGTTACAAACTAGCAATTTTATTACGGATCCCTAATTTTGAAAAAAAAAAAAAATAGCCTATAGCCTTCCTCGATAAATGGACTACCAAACACTGAAAAAATCATTCAAATCGGACCAGTAGTTCCAGAGATTAGCGCGTTCAAACAAACAAACAAACTCTGCAGCTTTATAATATTAATATAGTATAGACTAGTGGCTTGCCCTCGCTTTGCTTCGGAGTAAGCTGTAGTGTAGACTATAGATTTTGTTCAAAGGCTTGAATTATACACGATGACTTTGTTCATAATAATTATAAACCTTCCATTCCAAGTAAAAAAATTGTTGCGTAGTTTAGAACCCGTTGTACTGAATGCAACATTGCTTTGTTGTTCCGATTTTAAAACTTGTTTTTGTATTGGACAGTGCATTTATCGAGGAAGGCTATAGGCTATATATTACCAGGCTATTGACCAGTAGCAGCAGAGCATCGATGAAAAATGTTGCAAAAACGAGTAAAAATATTCCATTTGTGAGATTCCGTTGCGTGCGCTGGGTAAACGGTTAAAGTTACACAAAAATCATGTATGACGGAATTCTTTCCCTTTAAAAGTTCTGTAAAAAAACTCACGACAGCCTATGTTTATATTTAAAGTTTGACTCACAATAAACCATTTTCTTCAAATTAACGCGGGTGAAACCGCAGGGGACCTCTAGTTGTGACATAACTGTAATGGTGTAACATATGGCATCGCGGACTTTTTTGTAGATATTGGTATCCTCTATAAAACTTTAGTACATCACTTTGTTCTATTGTCAATGACTTCCGCAGCGTACGCGATATAAAGCTATTTTTTTTGGTATTTTTTACACACGTTGGGTTAAATTATCCAAGTTTTCATACGGAACCCTAACTTTTTTTGAAAATACTCTATAGAAAGAAAGAAAGAAAAGAAGAAATATAGCCTATATTAATCAGTGATAATGTAGCATTCAACGGTGAAAGAATTTTTAAAATCGGTCCAGTAGTTTTTGAGCCAATTCATTACAAACATACTTACATACAAACCTTTCCTCTTTATAATATTAGTATAGACATCATATACATTGGGGACACACATGTGGAATAAGCAATACAAGATCTTTCTCCTTGTAAATTAGATTAAAACAAAAAGGGAAGATACGGTACGCTCATACTAGCATCAAATAAAATATGATCCAGTGTATTACTTTTCTCTATGATATCATCATCATCCTCAGCCTATTAATGTCCCCACTGCTGGGGCACAGGCCTTCCCTATGAATGGAATAGGGAGATTGGGTCAAGACCCACCATGCAGGCCCAGTACGGATTGGCGGGTGCTAAAATCTGCAGATGCAGCCGGGACCAACGGCTTAACGTGCCTTCCGAAGCACGGAGGAGCTCAACATAGTAAATTTTTGGTCATCCATCCAATGACCGACCACTGCGAAAGTTGCTGATCCGACTCAACTACATAAGCAACTCTTACACGCACACGTCTGTATATAAACATTCAATCGAGAGAGCGAGAACTGTACCCATAGCACGAACCATTATCGAATTCGAATAGTTTGCAAACCGAAATATCAATGTCAAATTTTGTATGGAAACTTGAACAGCAGCTGCACAAAGTACGTAACGAGAACTAAAAATCAGTACACATTTGACAATGACATTTCGGACTCGCAAACGATTCGAATTCGATATTGGTTCGTGCTAGGGGTACTGTACGCTTCAACGCAGCGCGTGCGAAGTCCTTTTCTTGATAACAAAAGAAATGTTTTAACAGTTTTACGAATGAAAAGTGTTGCCGAGGTATTTGTTATTTGAACTACTATTTGTGTTTTTTATAAAAGCATCGAAAGCATTTTTTTTTATCTTTATAACACAGAATATACGCAATATTGTTATATTGAGTACACATGCGTCTTCGAATGTCCAATTGTGACTAAAGCGAATTATGGTCATGCACCACAATTTAAGCCGATCACTTTTGAGCCGCGAGTGCCGTACTTTCCCTTTTTGTTTTTTTTTAAGGTTTGTAAATAAAATGGTTCTAAGTTAAAAAAAAACTAGCAAACCAGTGAACCAAATGTTCACCAAAAAAAAAATGTATTTAATTAATTGAGAACTTCGGAGATTTTGTGTGGTTTCGTTTGAAATAGAAATCACGCGATTTCTCGAAAACCGGAAGTGCTACGTTACTCACATCCGGTTTGTAGTCTTATCAGACATTCTCAACTTATAACTTAAACATTCTCTTTATCTATCTCTTACGGTTTGGCCGCTGAAACAGCACCACGGACGGACGGACGGACTTGTCTATTAGATAAGAGATATTACCATTTGTTTCCATTGATCTCCAATAGCAACGAAGGCACTACAACTACCGCGACTAAATTTAACACAGAACTTGAGAAATTACAGCAGCTTCAATTCTCGTGCGTCTACTTTGGTTTTTCGTGAATTTCTTTAATGATGACTATAATCATCCCTTCAGGTGTTTGTTGAAAGCTATTTTCAAAATATGTCACATCAGTTAACTTTCACCAAATAGAAATACTAATTCTGTTACTGCCTTCCATTTTTCGGCCCTTCGAGCCGGATCTAATTAGAAAAGATCCTACGTAATACCATCTGAAAGTTCTTAAGTGAATTATAATGGCGTCATTTTTCTTTTACAGAAATGCTGCTTTACAGCTTTATGGTGCATTAATTCCTAAACTTATAGGTCAAAAGAAAGCATCAGGGACGGATGAAGAAACGGTTGCCACTGTCGCATGCGATGAATTCCAGACACATTCTTCCAAGCTATGGAAGCATATGACTATATGTTTGCAAGATATTAGTAAACACAATGATATAATCCAAGCTCATTCCAACATAATGCCTATAGTAAACGTGCTTGCTAATTTAGCAAGGCGATACAACTTTTCCCTTGATGCAAAAGAAACAGACTGTGATAAAATCTTATTGGAAAACCTACTATCTCTTTTAGGCAGCCCCATATACACTGTTAGAAGATTAAGTGCTAAGTGCATTTATAACATTTTTGATTTCGATATTATATTTAAGACAATTATGCTTAAAGAAATCAAATCTGAGAATGAATTGCATGGCAACCTAATTCTATTGACCTTTTGTTATAAACATTACAAATCGCAGAAATATCAAACTCGCTTTGCTAATTTTGTAAAAAAATTTAGTATTCTAATGAATGGCAATCATTCTTACTTATGCAGAAAACAATATGAAGAGCTTTTAGATACATATCATTTTGCTGATTTTATTCAAGAAACGTTGATAGAGAGTAAACAAAACCCACATGCACCTGGTATATCTTGCTGGACTGATTCTCGTTTGCGTAAATATATTCAGATCTGTTCATGGGAAAATGTACCTGATTTCTTAAAGACTGTTTCAATTGAGCGAGATTTTGATAAATATTGTCAATTTATAATTGACAAAATGCAATGCGATACTATTTCCCAAAACATACTCACAAAAATGTCTAACATATTACTGCAATGTGAACTCCTTTCTAATAGCACTATAACTTGGAAGCTGTTGTATCAAATATCACAAAAATTGGAAATAAGTGCTAATTTATATCCTGAAACTATTTTCCTGTGTTTGGAACAGAAATGTTTTAGCTATAGATTGAGGTACGCCATTCCTTACCTGGCAAGTTTAGCCAATCAACTATCAAATGAACACCTTGATAATTTATCTGATATTATATTCACATTATGTGATCCTGGAAAGTTCGATGTTGATATGAGATTCATAGCGGCATTAGGAAACAATGAAATGGGAAAATCTTTTACAAAAATAAAAAGGTCTACATTTAAAATTAATGCCATTAAAACAGCAGTTGTTCTTCTGCAAGATGAAGATGAGGATATAAGACTTAAAAGTACTGACTTTCACAAATATTTAAGCAATAATGAAGTAAGCTCACAGCCATATGTTTGCACATATAAACTTTTGAATGTGGAGTTCTTACAAGCCATTTTGGATAATCCGAAAAAGGATATACCAATACTTTGTCAAGAACTAGAAACTATAATGAACAGTTACTCTCAGACAGGTGTCGATGACTACAATCCATTTGCTAGCGAGTCCAAGAATATATATTATGAAACAGAAATTGTAAGGCACTATTTGGAAAAATTGAAAACTCTTTAAAATAAAATTATAATTATATTAATTTATAACATTATTCTATACTAAAAATATAAAAATTTACTCATCATAATAGTATTTCTGTGGAGGGGTAGTGTCATCTATTTGTATAGAAACAATATGCCTGCCTGGTACCATTACAAGACCGAGGACTCGGGGTTCTTCTGCCACACCTTCACTACTTTTCAGGTATTCAGAGCAGGCGCCTGAAATGTATACACAATTTGATCTAAAATAACCTTCATAAATATTTGAATTAAATGAACCTTCCTGAAAAAAATATTTATAAGTATATATGTTTAGCATAATTTTCTACTTGTGGAACATTTCATCAGAATTTAATGAAATGTATTGGTTTGTGCTAATTGCAAACAAACTTCTATATTGCCATTATTAGTTATTCGGAAATGGTATTTTAATTCAATAAACAATACCTATATTCTTGCAATATTTAGGAATAATGTATTTTTTTAACAGCTATTGTTTTAATAAAATTAAGAAGTGATGCTGTACATAGTATCTGTTTGAGGTACCATAGTAAAATGTTTGTCCATACATTTTACTATAGCAACAAACATTCCAAAATCAGCTGTTTAAGATTTCTTTTTCCCCTCCCATGAAATAATGTTAAATTAATTTATTACATTTAGATTTAAATATCAAGCAGTAAATGCATAAAAATATAATTAAAACTAGGAGGAGCTCGATGGCGCAAGTGGTTAGCGCGTTTCGCTGCGATCGTGGAATTAAAGCAACTTTCGCAGTGGTCGGTCATTGGATGGGTGACCGAAAATTTACTATCTCGAGCTCCTCCGTGCTTCGGAAGGCACGTTAAGCCGTTGGTTCCGGCTGCATCTGCAGTCGTTAACACCCACCAACCCGCACGGCCTGAGTGGTGGGTCATGGCCCAATCTCCCTATTCCATCCATAGGGAAGGCCTGTGCCCCAGCAGTGGGGACATTAATAGGCTGATGATGATGATGATAATTAAAACAGTTATTCCAACAATTAAAAGAAATACTTTGAATATAATAATGTAATTATTATCTTACCAAGAATAACATTAGCATCTCGATCAGTACAGAGGAACACTCCAATGAGCACCCGGCCATCTGTCATTTCTATTCTAAAATTCATGTTCAACCATTTCCTCAGTTTTGTTTTACCATCCAAAAGTTCAATATCCTAAAATTAAATTGTAGCTGTGTATAACTTAATAAAATCAATGATAAATAATAATTTAATGATAAACTCAGATTAGTTCTGTAAACTGATAGATAAAAAATGAAAATTCAAAAAATAAAGAAGTCGTAGATTTTATCCGGTACTCACTTGTGTTGTTTCGTCCGGTCTTTCTAAAATAATATTACTCATTTTACCTACTATTATAGTTGTTATTAGTAACGTTGCCTTTTTTCGATACTACTAAACAGATTAACGCATCAATTGTTTTGAATACGTAAATTTGTCTTTTTCTTAGTCCTTTTTACAATTATATATTTTTTCGGTTCACAAAAAGTTTTTTTTTTTTAGTTCTATTCTTCTCTATTGAGAAAGGCAAAGGCATAGCCATGCAGCCATCGTCTTATTTTTGTATTAATCTTCCTTTTTTTACATTAGAATGTGGGTGTGACGCATTCTAATGCTTCTCGGAGTGTTTGGCACGAAATATATCGAGTTGGCTTTTTCGATAAGCTTCTGTGAGGTAGTCAATACTACAATAAAATTCTCACGTCCACTTGACCGGAATAGCGTATATTTTAAAGATTCCACTAATTCTTCAGTTGCCCAGACGGTTGTAACACAAAATCACACCAATTTTATTTCACAATATCCACTATGAACAAATTTAAGAATAATTAAATTAAGACGCCAACCGCACTCGATGAAATCCCGCCAAAAACTCCTCACAAAAAGAAGGGTAAATAAACCTGAAGTTTTGATTTTGACGTTTACGTTTGACTTTTGTTATTGTTTAATTTTCCCAAAGGAAAACCAAAGAAAACTATGTTCATACAGCCTAGGAAATTACTACATAAATAGAACCGATAACTTAGAAATAACGTATTCAAAAATATCTTTGACTGTCTTTGAATTTATACTGAGCAGTTAACAATTTCAGTTCAACCACCCTAATTCCTATACTAACAATACACAAGCGGTGCACAGTGCGGCGAAGCGGCCAAGAGAGCCAGGGCGCCCGACTGTTCCGCTCCAGGGCTCTGACAGAGTCGCTGCACTGTGTGTAATATCTCCGCTGCGCCTATTCCGGTATGCACCTTTAAGTTAATATTTCGTCGTCAGATACTGAGTTAATCCGGACACAGTGAGATATTTAATGGATATTTACGTCAGTGGACCTTTGTTCTTTAGCTTCGTTCTATAATCATATCAACATAAAAAGTTTGAGGTTTAGAGAATCTTGCCGTCAGACCCGTCAAGCTGCATAGACATAGTATCTTTTATTTTCAAATGTGGAAAATAAAAAATGTGATTGCCAATGTAATACCCCTTCCACACGACACAATTTGATTGCCAATCTGATTGCCGATTGAATTGGGTACAATCTGGTCGTCCGTCTACACATACACAACAAGATCGCCAATTTCAGTTTTGTTTGTTGCCTCTGCTGAACGGACTTGTTTGTATTAGGATGCCTCTTACCAAGAAGCAAAAAATTGGATTAATCTTGGCTCTAACTACAAATGTAGATGAGAAAAAAAGAAAAAGAAGACTGTGGACAAAACAATGGTTATTAAAAAGAAAGCAATTGAGGACTTAAATGTAGTTATATTATATTTAGTGACTCAATTAATAAACTTAAATATAGTTATACTTAAAGAGTAATATTTTTAACCTCGTAAGTCCCCGCGTACTTGTATAAGTACAAATAAAGGATAGTAGTTCAGACCTGATATTTTAACTACATATATGGAGTGCGTACCTAATGTACTTGCCGAAGTACAAATTTTTAAATCCCCATTTACCGGGTAGTTTTTTTATAACGGCAACACAGACACAGTCATTCTCATTCTATATTCCATGGTCGATTCCGCCCTGTTTGACAGGTAACGTCAACTGACAGTGTCAGTGTCACTTTTTCGCAAGATGACTACGCGGTCGGGACGACGACCAGCACGAGGTAAGATTATCTGTTTATATCCAATAAATCATTTGTTTTTTCTTTTGTTTTATAAATGAATTAGTGTATATAAATTCTGAATATTTTATAATGAACAAAATTTAAAAGATGATATAATTTTAAGGAGATTTCTGATCGGTCAAAATAATATGTACTTGACGTGGTACGTTAGGTGTTTGTTACATAAATATTTGTACTTGTGGCGGTACGTTCGGTCTATATTACAAGTTCACCTCCTAGAAAATTAAAATAAAAACTATTTTTTGTCGTGTTCAGTTGACAAAAATGTTAAATTATAGCCTATTACCATTTATTTTGATCTCTTATACTTGACTGTGATTTCGCTATATAATGTCTTATAAGTAGTACGTAAGGAAGATTGTTTGCAAATTTCAGCGTTTTCTATTTTATTTAATAAGTAGGTATATTGATGCCGTTATTCTCTGATTAAGATAAGATAATGGCCTAAATTGTCATTGACGCTGAGTTTTTAATTGTATTTTTTAATGAAGATTGTTTACGTTGTAATAAAATGATGTTAAGAGGAAAAATATGTTTTGTTTCGATACTAAATAATTTTTTTAACTTTTATTACATTGTTTTATTACACGGTGTAAAAACCTAATGCACTCACACAAGTACAAAATATTTTCAATAAATTTCTTCTTAAAAAGGTGCTTTACGTAATAAACATAACGTAAAAAATACAGACAACAAGACCTCACTTCAAAAATTACGTACAAGCGTTTTTTCTTGTCTCGGTCTGAAGTACTATTCTTGATTTGTACTTGCTATAGTACATCCGTCAGATATGACTACTGCTGTTAAAAAAACACGGGACTTACGAGGTTAAAGAAAATATAACTAGAAAAAATTCCACGCGGACCAGGCAGCAGACGGGACTCGAACCCGCGCCCTTCGAAAACCCTTTAAAATATAAACGAGTTATATTTTCTTTAGATTTAAACATCAAGCAGTTACATGCTTTGAAAATTATAACAGTAATATTTTTATCAATATTTTTCCACTTATTCCGCAAAATCTCTAAGGAATTATGCCTTGCTTATTTATTTTTATATAATGGGTTAGACACATCCCAAAGGCATGGCAAGTCTTAACATATATCTAAAATCTCCTCCATTACTTCCCGTTCCGATCGAATAGACATAATATTGTCGTCATGTTGCTCCATCTTCTTCTCAAAAGACAAGTCAACGCACACACCCGCTCTGAACGCCGCTTGCACAGTGACTACGTTAAAAAATTGGCCAGTTAGCGTCCACACCACCCAATTTGATTGGGCAATCCCGAATCGGGCGATACCGACCATCCAATGACCTTCAATTTCATATTTCCGTCCACACAACACAATTCGATTGTCAATCTAATCAAATTGGACGTAAAATTGTATCGTGTGGAAGCTATTTAAGGGTGAGCAAATGAATAAAAAATACGAAATGATATTCTAAAAATTAAAAAAAAAACTGATTCATAAAAACAAAATCAAGAAGTAGTAAAGTAAAAATTAAGAAGTAACACATTTTCTTTATTTATGTGTACGAAAACACAGTGATCCTATAGGATAACTATAATCCTTTAAAGATTAACATTATTGTATATTAATTTCTAGAAGGCGTCACACCCACATTCTAATGTAAAAAAAAGGAAGATTAATACAAAAATAAGATGATGGCTGCATGGTTTTGCCTTTGCCTTTCTCAATTGAGAAGAATAGAACTAAAAAAAATCTTTGCCAATGGATAGGGACACGATATCGAATAAAAAGTATCGATACTGTACTCATGAGTAGTATCGGTAAAAAAGTATCGTACTCGTAAAAGTATCGAAACAAAAGTATCGATACTTCAAAGTATCGAGTACATTTCATAGGGCCTTATCGGAGCCTCTGTGGCCTGATGAGTAAAGCCCACCATTCACTACACACACCGCGAGCCGAACCCCGAGCCGTACCCATCCGTGGACAAATCCGTCATTGCCCACACACTACACGAGCGTCGAGTTGCAGTCCAGTCGCTTGTGTACTTTGGTGAGCCTCGCGCGTATCGTTCTTCCCTACCCTACCATGCCACCGGTGCTATCCAAACGCACAAAAGTCGCTTTAGTAATCGGTGCAATACTTTTAACGGAGAATAAAAAGAAAAAGCGCGTTTGAACAAAGGAATGGCTGAAACAACGAACAAAATATACTCATTTAAAATTGCTGCAAAGCATTCAGACCTGTAAACCACCTGTTTCTCTTTAAACAGCAGGATAAATTCTTGCCAAAACTCTGTATGATCGCCGAACGACATGTTATTATACTCGTTTACTCGTTCGTGATACAAACAACACAACTGCAGGCCAATTATGCTCGCTAATTGTGATATTGTTTTGATGTCAATTTCACATTACTCATTATGCTCTCCGAATGCGATGTCAAAATGACATCAACTTTAAAATGATATTAACTTAAATGCGTATTACGTTCAAATTTTTGACATAAAACAGTATCGCATAAACGTCAAAAATGTTGTATCACATTTACACTTAACAAGTTACGAGGTGGTTTTTCTGTATTAAATTCCTTTTTTTATTTAATAAAAAAGAGTAAAATGGCTCGTTTCGGGTTAGTAATGGACTATTTAGAACGAGCTCATGCCGAGGACATGCGTAGAAGAGATACAATTAGCTCTTTATGTTCGCTAATTGTGATATTCTTTTGATGTCAATTTCACATTACGTATTATGCTCTCCGAAAAATGCGATATCAAAATGACATCAAATTAAGCGTATTATGATCAACTCTTTAAAATGATATTAACTTGATATCAACTTAAATGAGTATTATGTTCAACTTTTTGACTTGAAACAGTATCGCATAAACTTCAAAAAGTGATACAGACGTGATACAGAATTAACAAGTTAAGAGGTCGTTCTGCGTGCACGCACTACAAATGACTGACAAGTTCGCCGATAAATCTGTGCAAGCACACACACGTACGGATTTGTACAGCGCGACTGGGGTGCGGCGCGGCGCTCGCGTCTCTCGACGGCGAGCGCCGCGCCGAGCCGCGAGCCGCACTCACCAATACATTCACACGCGGATTTGTCCACGTACTTGTCGCCAGCGACAAATCCGGCGGATTGGCGCGCCTGTGAATGGTAGGCTTAACTCCCCCCCGGGTGTTAAAATTGAAAGAAAAACAATCGAATTTTATTATAGTACGTATAATCAAAAACAAAAAAAGGACATGTAAATTCATAAATTGCTATATTATAATATTTAATATGAAAAGAAAATAGTTGTGATTTCTGATACTAAAAAAGTGTTCATTAATGTTACAGTCATAATTAAAATGTTAATTAAAAAGATCGAAATCTTAAACAATTTAAAAGTATGAAACTTTTCAGATTTGTTTCAAATTAAACTTACTTTTCTTGAATTTTAATCATTAAAAAACATTATACCCACTTATGTTAACTTGAATCTGACACGTAGTTAACGGCTGCCATTGGCATGCTTCACTCAAGATTATAATTATAGAAGAGGTTACGTCCGTCTTTTTTCAGGTGGTTTCAAATAGGTATACACAGCACAGACAGAATAATAGTGTTACACTTGAATAAATCAAATACAGTCAAGCGAATAGCACAATGAATGGCGAATCAATCACAGTTCCTAACAATATGGTCGCTAAATAAATAACTATGAAACAAAACAAAACAAGCAAAATAAACACAGTCACAGATTGGAAAGAATTTGAATATGTCAGTTGCTGACTTTATTACAACGCATTAAGGCATTTGACAGTATTAAAAATAAAGTGCCAAAATAACGAAAAAGATATTAGTTTTCTTATCTATTGTCACGTGACCCAAAACGCTTGGGTTTGGCGGAGCCTAAAATGACGTCACACGCAAGTAAACTTCCGGTCAAAGTGATATTACATTGTATCGTTTGACGTTTTAATAACAGTCGTGTGACGTCACACACTAGTAAGACGCAATATTGTCCAGAGAAACGTTTTCGCGGCAACTTTGAAAACGGAGTTTTAGATTTGGTTATTTTTACTGAAATACACGACAGAATGATGAATATCCACTTTTTGCGGACTCCATAAACATTAGTTAATGACGTGAGATCGTTGCCTAAACCTTGTCAAATACCCAATGAAACGTTTTAGAAGGTTTGCTATGATTTAACAAGATGGCGTTGCCATCAATATGAGGCGCTTATCCAAATTTTTAAAGGTATCGATACTTGCCAAAAAGTACTCATTTAGTAAAAGTATCGAATACAAAGTATCGAGTACAAAAGTATCGGTAACGAAAGGAAAAGTACTCGATACCACAAAGTATCGATACTTTTTTCGTGTCCCTACCAATGGAATTAAAAAATTCAAGAGTTTTTGGCGGGATTTCATCGAGTGCGCTTGGCATCTTATTTTAATTATTCTTAAATTCGTTCATCGTGGATATTGTGAAATAAAATTGGTGTGGTTTTGTGTAACAACCGTCTGCGTAACTGAAGAATTAGTGGAATCGTTAAAATATACGCTATTCCGGTCAAGTGGACGTGAGAATTTTATTGTAGTGTTGACTACCTCACAGAAGCTTATCGAAAAAGCCAACTCGATACATTTCGTGCCAAACACTCCAAGAAACATTAGAATGCGTCACACTGACATTCTAATGTAAAAACAAAAAGAAGATTAATTTTATTAAAGACCAGGCTGTATGGGCATTGTTCCCTTTGCCTTCCCTAAAACGGGAGAACTTCAACAAAAAAAAAATTAAAAAATTCAAGTTTGTGCCTGAAAAATGAAGGAAATTGATGAATTTTTAACAATATTTAAGTATTACAAGGCAAATAAACCTAAACCTTCATCGCAGAATGTAATAACAGTTGAAGATGAGCGCCATTACGATAAAGTACGTTGGAACATAACAACACACTAAAGGTGAAAGGTTAAATGTTTCTAAATACATACATTGTTTCTTTCGTTTCCATTAAATGGACCGCTCGTGGATCTTATTCCAGCTCAGTTCCACCGTCCACCTCCGCAGTCCACCTGCGTGTACTACTTTAGATAGCTGGTACACCAAGGTGGACTCACAAATTACTGTTTTATCCATATCCCATTACTTTGCAGCTATGACACTAGGTAAATAATAATATTACTCGGTTTTTCAGGTAATTAGATTTGCTTTAAAACAGAGCGATGATGCTAGAACACAGAGACTGGGTCTTAAGAAAATGGAAAAATGGCATGTCTACACTTTCCAATCTCACCCTGGATTATATCTTATTAGAAATCCGTTTACTAGCCTAGGACAACGTTATTGGATCAGAAAATGCTTAGAAGATTACCCAAGAAAGCCAAATAGGACAAACATTGACAATGAAATTAATTTGGAAGACTGGTGGCAGGCATGCTATGTCGATGGAGCCTCTGATCAAACTTTAATAAAAAAACTTAGATGGACTACACTAGGATATCATCACAACTGGGATACAAAGGTACGATGTTTTAATTGAAACTAGTATTTTTTCCCATCAGATATTGAATAGTTTATGGTAATTCATATAATGTTAACTAGTGGTCGCCTGGGACTTCATTCGCATTAACTTTTGAGTATCCCACAGGAACCTAATATTTTTTGGGAATAAGAAGTATTTTGTTTCTATCCAGGTCATGTCTATGAATACCAAATGAATCTAAATCTATTCAGTAGCTTTTGTGAAATTTAGTAATAAATATAGAACAAATAAATAAATAAATATTTCCAACACTGACACCAATTAGCCTAGCCCCAAAGTAAGCACTGTAAGGTTTTTGTTATTGGATGCTAGGGTAACGGATAGAATACATATACTGTATATAATTATAATAGAATACATATATATATATATATATACATATTAAACATCCATGACGGCAGATGTCGTCAAAACAAAACAAAACATTCATAATTTTAGAGGGATTAGTTCTGCAATGTAGTTTAAAAATGCATTAGGTCTACAGTAGAACTGCTTAATAGAATCACTGTGTACAAAAATAGTTTTTGGATATAAGTGAGTGATTAAGGCAGCATAATTATAATAATTTGTTTCCCTTAGTGTTGTGTTACACAAGTGAACTTGTTTACTACATCGTCACTTCCATAGTTAACTTACGAATTTGAATTTCACAAAACCTACAATGCCAAAATATTGTATATTAATTCAGTAAGTTTACTTTGGATGTATAAACATAAAATGCAGATTGAAACAATCATACTTTTGGAACCTTTTCCCTGGTGTTAAGTACCTCATTATGTGCAGTTTTTTATTATAGATTTTTACTGAAAAAGCAGATTCGTAAGTTTGCCGTAGATGTGACGACATGTGAAGTAAAAGTACATGTAGTAAAAGTTGCTATAATTTGAGTGATTGTTGGTGCTTACAAATTATTTTACTCCTGTTTCAGGTTTACAGTGAAGACAATCAGTCTGCCCTACCACGGGAGTTAGCTGAACTCACAGACGTAGTAGCCTTGTCCTTAGGCTATTCCACATTCAAACCTCAAGCCACAATTGTTAATTATTACCACATGAAATCTACCTTATCAGCTCACACAGACCATTCTGAAGTTAATTTAGAGGCACCATTGTTTTCATTTAGGTAAATATAATTGTGAATGTTGCATGCTATCCATTTTTTTTGTTTGGATCAACAATCTGCTTATATAAATATCCCCTTGATGCTATGCATACATATCATATATATCATATCAAAAACATCAGTTACTTTCCAATGTACTAGATGCAAGCATAGCATGCTTATTTTTGTTTATTGCCAGTCAACCCTGCGGGTATTGCCACCAGCCGCAAATGGGAATGAAGCCCAATGTTTTTATTCACATTTGCCACTGGTGGCTATCCCCGACTTGAGTTTTTTTTATTCCCATATGCATCTGGTCGCAATTCTCCCGGAGATGATTTGAAAAAAAACCATTTTGTACTACCTGTTGATGAATATTATGTTCAGCACAAAAAGCTTGAAAACTATTTCAACTCACTCTAAAAAAGATTGATTTCAACACAGTTTCTTTGAGGCTACAATTTTGTTAATTTTTTCAGGATATAATTCCCAAGTTTAAAAGATATTTAATTTAATCTTTCAGTTTTGGTCAGTCAGCGATATTCCTTATCGGTGGACAGGATAAGTCTGTCACACCTACAGCAATTTTACTCCAAAGTGGTGATATCATGGTAATGTCTAAGGAATCACGCCTTTGCTACCATGCTGTGCCTAAGATACTGCTTGCGTCATCATCACCTTGGAATGAAGAAGTTAACCACAGTCTTGGTGAAATTTCAGCATCTTTCAAATATATTAATCAGCCTGAAGAATTATACTCAAATATGATTAAAAACACTGGTGATGAATGGAACAGATTTAAAGATTATGTAAAAGAATCGAGAATAAATATTAATGTGAGACAGGTGTTAAATGAAAGTCAAAATAGTTTAGCAGGTGTTGTGTTTAATAGTTGATACTAAATAAAACTTGTTGGAAAATATGCACTTTTTACTATTTTTAAGGTATGTTTTGAGTTATTTGGTCAGTTGGTTTATTAAAGGCTTGAATTTGGCATCAAAGCACTTTGGATGATACCAGGGTTTCGAAATGGACGCTCTTGCTCTTGCAGTGGCTGCTCGGTTATGACTGCAACTAGGAAATATGAAAATCAATATAGTTAATGTTAGCTCACATGACAGAGCATAGATAGGTATATCCATATGAGTACTCTATAATTATATATTTTTTATAAGTAACTAGTTGACCCAGCGAACTTCGTACCGCCCTAAAAAAATAGGGGTTGTCCAGCGGACAAAATTGTGAATCTAAACCATTCTCAGATCCCCTTGAACACACACAAAAAATTTCATCAAAATCGGTCCAGTCGTTTAAGAGAAGTTCAGTGACATACACACTCACAGAAAAATTATATATATAAAGATGCGACAATTACATTTGGTTGTTAGCCCATATTTTGGTTCACGAAAGACATTACTCAAATTTGGGCACCGAACCAATTTTTACACAGGAATACTGAAGGACTGAAAGGTTGGAAGATGGTGTCAGGCAGTGTTGGGCAAAATGTAATTAATTCCAAATTAACAATTTCAATTACAAAATGTAATTGGTGACTTTAATTACAAATTACTTGAAACTATTGAAATGTAATGCAATTAAAAGTTAAAATTAGCAATTGTAATTGTTAATTGCAATTACTCAATTACTTATATGTAATCACTTTTATAGATGAGGTAGTATTTTAAATAAAACCATTATATTGTGACTTATCAAATGTTTATTTACGAAATAGATCAGATAAATTGTGTAATTTACTACCACCTTTTTGAAAATTAAGACAATAAATGTTTGATTTATTTTAAACTAGACTTTAATACTACTCTTTGTTCAAACATTTGATCAGAAAGTTTGTGAGATTTTGGTAAATTAATCATTTTAGCATATGAGAACAATCAATCGAAATAAAGGTGCATGCCGCCGGGAGACTAGAAAAGGGATAGGTAGCTGTGTAGGTATAGGTACCGAAGCACACTTATACACTCATAAATTCATGGCCAATTATACACTAAAACTTCATTTGTGTTGTGCTTGTTGTGCTGCGTACGGGCATCAAGCTAATAACCGCTCAGTTTTAGTAGTTTATTATGTTACCCTTGAAAAGTAATTGAGTAATTTGAATTACAAACTAATGTAATTCAAATTACTTCGGACGTAATTAATTGAATTAGAGTAATATCAAATACATGTAATTTCTATTAAAGTTATTCAATTAAAATTCATTGAATTAGTAATTAAATTACAAAAGTAATTAATTACGCCCAACACTGGTATCAGGTAAACAAAAGAAAATCTACCAGAATACGGGCATGCACTTTTCATTTACTCAAATTCCATTGGCACTTGTATTCGGGCTAACAACTAAGATTAATCGTGCCATAAGTCCTGATGTTGCCTCAACCTAGGGGAGAAATCAGTACAATAAAAATCCTGGTGTCTTCCCTAGACGGGCCGTCAGGGGAGATAACAGTCCGACATTGGTGATTCAATCTTTACAACTAGCAAAATATAAGATATGAATTGAAAAAAAGTACCTTTATAGGAAACTTATTTCTAGCCACAGAACACAGGAAGAGGTTTTGCCCGCACCCTTACCAGACTAAATAGGGACAAACTTCGCAGATTATAGGATCTTTGACTGGTCATTGTCCCCTAAAAAAAAATGTGATAAGATACCTACCTACGCAATGTGCACAACCGACTACGCGCACTGGCTCCGGCTCATTCATTTCGCTGTTTTTGTCGGCTCGTTTCGATATGATTATTTTTTTTTTAACGGAAGGCATGCACACTCACACACACACACACACACACGCTACACCAAACACTTACGTACACACTCATTTACACAAAGTTAGTTATCATGCTCCTTTTATAATTCTGATTTATATAGGTATTTATATTTATCGCAAAATTAATTTGAATCTTTGTTGGTATTTCTTTTATATTATTGTTAATTTGTAATTTCTACCCTACGTTATCATTTTAATTTTTAAATTGAATACAAAGTGAGTTTCTGTAATTGGCTAAAGTACCGTTTAAAATTTTATATTAGATTATATTGTGTAAAACGCTGTTGAAACTTGTTGATGATAAATAAATAAATAAATAAACAAACACCTTTTACAATAGGAGTTACAGACAGCCTATGCAGAGGATGCATGGAGGCAGAAGAAACGCCACAGCATGTCATCATGGAATGCAGGAGTATAGCCGACCAACGGGCACGACTTCTCCAGTCGCCAGAATCGTTTCCGGAAGCTTGCAGCAGTCTACCAAGGCTGCTTTCCTTCTGGACCGATATAGGCTGGCTGGAGTAAACGGGAATGTTTTTGAGACACGCACAATGGTCCAATAATTAGGACTAAGTGCGGAACCCGCCCTGAAGAACTAACTAACTAACTATGAATTGAAAAAAAGTACCTGTATAGTAAACTAATTTTTAGCCACAGAATACAGAAAGAGGTTAGAGGGGCTTTCTGGGCGGGGCAGGTGCGCTACAGTTATATGTGAGCAAATACTCATAACTTGACCAAAATTTGGTTCTGATTGCGTTGTTGCTACTGGGTGTGAGCGCTGATTGGTTCGAGTGTTTGATGTTGCGTCGTTTGATTGGCTATTATCTATTAGGTGGAAGAGTAGTGGGGGCGAGCCGGCGACATCGGTTCCCGAACGAACGGATTGCACAAATATCCAGTACCTACCAGAGTAATGATTGTTTGTTTATACTTTCCTTGCTAAGTTAATAATGAGCTCGATGGTGTATTGGTTATCACGTTCTGTCCAACATTATAGAAATTGAGAAAATTTCGCAATCTTCGGTCATAGGATGGGTGACCAAAAATTTGCCCTTGTGGATCATGTTTCGATTTCCTTACTCCATATAAAGGAAAAGCCTATGTTCCAACACTAGTGGCATTAATAGGCATCAGCCTAATAGACAGTAACAGAATTTCTATCAACATTTTGAAAGGATAGTCCTCTAGTATATATCTCCTAAACTCGTTATTTATTTATGTTGCACCGCATCGCAACAAATTACCCGTAAAATGTCAGTCTCGAATAGTGTTGCCAGGTCCAATTTGCTTTAAATAGGTACACGAGATCAAAAAAATCGGGATTTAGGGTTGCAGATCGGGACAGTAAAAAAAAACAAGGGGTTTTTAATTCTGGGTTTTATTTATTGCGTTTTAAACTTCTAGTGCAAGTATAGTATTATATTAATTACATATATTTTTTTTAATTATTGGGGCAATTATCGTCCCGATCTGGTATAAATTGGGACGCGCCCACAGACCCCTGAAAATCGGGACACCTGGCAACACTAGTCTCGAAGGAAGATGATGTGGCAGAAAGTATGCCGCTCCAGCCATTCTCACCTTGCCGCCCTGAACCAGAATCCCCGACTCCGCGAAGGCCTAGAACCTTACTCACCAGCAGAAATACGAAACCAACATAAGGTGGTGTTATTTTACTGTGATCTTTTGTAAGGTGGAGGTTGCTTCAATTCCAGCGGGAAATCAACTGCTCTTCCTCTCTTAAAATAACACTTTAACACGCAACTTGCTATTTGAGTGGCTAGATTTTTATTGGGCAGCTTACCTTCGTCATTACTCTTAGTAACGAGAAATACGAAACCAACAAAAGGGGGTGTTATTTTACTGTGATCTTTTTGTAAGGTGGAGGTTGCTTCAATTCCAGCGGGAAATCAACTGCTCTTCCTCTCTTAAAATAACACTAACACGCAACTTGCTATTTGAGTGGCTAGATTTTTATTGGGCAGCTTACCTTCGTCATTGGCCTTAGTAACGAAGCTTTCAATACTCTTATGATGGTCACACATGCCCCAGAAGCACTTTATGTAGCCGTTCGCATAGCATTCATATCCGTCTTTCACGCTGAACAGAGCCAAACGCCTGCTCCTAGGTTTATAGCAATAACTGTTGCACACCTCTCTTACGTACATTTTGGTATAACTGGTAATTTAGATGAGTTTCTAATATTATTGAAGAAAAAATTGGTAATTGATTTTTTACTCTGAATTTCACTATCAAAATGACAAGGGTTGACTTTTGTTTTAATTTTTATCTTGGCGTTGATCTTCCGAAGGCCTTGATTGGCCATAGAGGCCAGGTTGTATATCTCATAGTTGTAGAAAAGATTTTAATTAAATAATATCTGTGAGACGAGAGTGTCTTTTCTCTGTACCAATTTGTAATAATAATGTTTCCTCACATAATCCTACTTATAGAATGTGCCGGGAATATAATGATTTACTGTGTGGGTTGGACGGAGTACCTGACATCTGCGGTCAATCGCTCAACAGTTCGAAAAACAATGTGAAAAAATATATTAATTAATTAATACCATTGATATAATCATTATTACAATTGTTTAACAATATCTATGAAATTCACGTGTTTTTTATTTAATTTAATTTAATAATGTCTTTATTTATAATTATTTTAATTTTATATTTCTAATTTGATTAATGAATTGTGCATGTCTTAATCTCATTAAAATTGTTATTAATGAATTCTATGTTAATGTAATTATTAAAATTTTTGATTTTTAATGTATAGTTGCTGTGTACTTGTATAAACATGCTGTTTGCACATGCTAGTGGAGTTCAGTATTTTTTTTTTATCAATTGTTTTTCTATGTGTCATTTACCATTTTGCTTGCTGTAACTCTGTTTTGTGCAATAAATAAATAAATAAAAAAAAATACGAGACTTTATGGCCTAGGGGGTTCATATCTTAAAATCTCAAGTGTATTACCACGTATCACCGCTGCTCTATCTCAATCAAATAAATCTCTGGCTACGGCTAATATTACTGCCTATTTTATATATATTCATAATGTTAACAGTAGGACACGGCATTCTTAAACATTCCTTAACTTTTTG